CAGTGAATGTTGCCGCGGCAGCGTCGGCGGCGGCGGTGCCGCCGGCGCTTCCGGCCCCCGCTCGATCAGCTGTAGCTGTGGCTGTTCCCCGATTTGTTGGTCAGCGGACGGAGCGCCTCCGGGGAATGATATCGCTGCGGCGGCGGCAGCGGCTGGAGCAGCAGCAACTGCGGCGGCGACGGCGTCTGCGAGCGGTTGCTGCATCCGCCGCCGCCGCTGCCACCGCCGCCAATGCGGATGAGCTTCCCGCCAGCTAGTTCCCCGCCAGGGCAATACCTCGCCGCCAACATCCCCCCCATCTCTCCCCGCCACTTCCCTCAATATCTCCCCTTCATCTGATCGGCCCTCCGCCGCTTCCCCTCCCCCCCCTTCCCCCTCCTCCGCCGCCTCCGCCGCCTCCCCCGCCTCCTCAATTCGGTCTTCCTGAAAACCGAACCACCGTGTATTGCTCGCAAAGAATGTACTGCTCTGGCTGCTGCTGCGGCGGCGTTGGCGGCCGCCGTCGCAACTTCCGCACGCGTCCGCAAGCGGCGACGGCAGCGTGCGGCGCCCTAAGCAGTAGCAAAAATAGCGGTAGGTGTAGCAGAGTGCGGTAGCAGTGCGGTGGGGGCAGCTGTAGCAGCTGCGGCCCAGGCGGGCCAGCCGCTTCGCGACGGCGTTGCGCACTCCGGGACAGTTATCGTTGGCTAAAGCACTCAGCAGCAGCGACAGCGCGACGATGATGACGGCGATGATGGGTCCAAAGACGGGCAGGGTCGTCTGGCTGGCGAGCATGGCGACCGTGACGATAACGATGACGATGCTAAGACGGCGGTCTAGGAAGAGGATTTAGGAGATGACTACGGATATGAAGTTGGGAACGAAATAGTTTGTGCTTGTCAAGGGTACCTGCGGAGAAATCGTAGCGGTCGTTGCGTAAGTGGAGGCAGAGGAGATCAAAGGTCTTTAGTGCTCATTGCTTTTCTTGTGTTGGGAACTTTATGTTTGAAGGAGTTTGATGAAGTGCATGATCAACCTATATATCTATATCTATGTATAGGTTTTACTTGTTTTCATTGCGGACGTTTTGTGACCCGCGGGTCATTCAGTGGGAACAACAAAGGAAACGCAGCAGCTGCGAAGAAATTAATCATTATCAGGGTGGTGGTGCAATTATTATTTAATGCTTCAATTGACATCAGGTACTTGAATAGCGAAGCCTTTGCGCGCTTGCCATTTTGTTTCAGATCATTTGTCTGTGCGTCTCTTTTACGTGCGACGATATGCAGTCGTTCTGTCCTTGTGTAGTGGTGGCTGAAGAGCGGCTGCTAGTTTTTTTCTGTATGCATTGGACTTGGCCCGCGTGTGCTTTCGCACAAGTAGTTTCTGCTGAAGGCGATGACCTAAACATAGCAAAGAATTGACGGACGAAAACTATCCATTATGGGGAACGCTGTCCGGTCATAATCCATTGACGCCTTCGCTTCGGCTTCCAAAGCAGCTCGGCATACATCTTTCCCGAAAGAAGATGCCACTAACTTGCCTTCGCTTTCGCTAGTTGTTTATACTTGCCTACAGGACTAGACTGGGGAACAATAGAAGAAAAGGTCCTTCAGGGGATTTTAAATTCAGTCCTGCCTGTAGATTCATCTAGTCAGCTGTTCCACAGACCGGCCATTCCGTTCCAGACAGAAATCCCAGCGAGAGACAAACCGGGCGGAGGTCCCGCGATTATGAGCACCAGAGGGACGGACAGCTGCTCCACATCGGGGTTGAAAAGGGGATTAATCAGTATTGTCATGATAAGGCTCTGCTGCGGTGCGCGCGAGGGACCTCACTGCTGCGACGTCCACACCGCCCCCCAACAGTTACGGGCGCCAACCGCATCCATCCTTCACCAACATCGTTTCAATACGAAGCAACATATCCTCATCCGTCATTCCAACCGCAAGCAGCAGCAACCACAGTCCGTGCTCTGATATGTATTCGCTCTCCTCCTCCTCCTCCTCCTGCTCTTGCCGATGCTGCTGCTGCTGTTGCTAATTCTTCGCGCGCAGCAAAGCGCTTTCCTTTTCCTGTTGCATAACTGCCTCTAGGCCCTATGTCCTAACCTAATCTTGGCAACCCACATGGCGCGGCGTGACCTCCCCCGTCATCGTCTGTGCTTCGTCGTTAGTTACCCCACCTGACTGCTGTCCACCTGACTGCTGTTCCTCTACCCCCCGTGCACAGCCCCCCGAGCCGAGGGCGTGTTTTTCCCAAGTGACCCAGAAGTCCCCATCAACCCCCGCAGCCCAGTAAGCCACACAAGAACTCTACACACATCCATACAGACATCCATACAGACGCCCCAGACGGCGAGCAACTCGGCACATGTCCCCAAAGAAACCGCCACCGGGAGGCGATCCAGACCCGCCACCCACCACCCGCCACCACTAAACACCAAGCTCCGCACTACTAGTCGTGACATGACCTCCATACACTGCTACCTGTAGCCCTAAAGCTACTTCCGAGAACACTTGGATCAGGGCCTCCTCCCCACTCCCTTCTCCTCCCTCCCCCTCCCCCCCACCCCACTTCCCCCCAATGCAAGGGGGGGGGGAATCACACGGACACAGCCCGCTCGGGGGGCCGGGGGGCAGCGTGCTGGGTACGTGAGCCAACTGGCGCACAACCCCCCCAGTCAGCGTAGACAGCTACACAACTACGTACGTCAACTCCTCCCCCACACTTTCCTTTGCTCGGCGGTGCAACTCCCCCTCCTCCCCCCTTCCCCTCCTTTCCTCCTCTCTCACGCCATGTTGATTACCAGCTTGTTCTGAACCGCCGCGTGCAGGGAGCTGATCTGAGCCGCCCACTTGTCCAGGGAGGAGTAGCGCCGGGCGCCCTCCTGGCGACCGCCCACCTCCAGAATCTGGTTCACCTGTCCGCGGGGGGAGGGGGGAAAGACGAACCACAAACGAGTGAAGCTGCTGCCAGGGCAAGAGTGTACCGGGGGGAGTGGGGAGGGGGAGGGGGAGGGGGAGGGGGAGGGGAGGGGAAGGGATATGCAACATGCAAAAGTGGTAATGGGGGAAGTCATGGAAATAACAATAAAGGGAAGGGGGAAAAGGAGGGAGGGAGGGAGGGGAAATGGTGCATGTGTGTGTATGTGTCGTGGTACGTGCCAGCCAGGCAGTCAGGGCAGCGAACAAGAGGGGGGCAAGGGCAGGTGCGAGGGCAGGTGTGAAAGCACAGCACCACTACCCGCAATGACCCACACACACACACCTGGTCGATGTTGCCCGCGACCCGGCCATCCAAAATCAGCGATACCAGCAGCTGCTCCACATCGGGGGCCGGGATGTTTAGCTTTTGTGCGATGAAGGGGATTCGAACCCGGGTGTACGGCTGGATGATCTTTAGCAGCACCTGATGCGACAGCAAGACGCGAGTAAGGGTCCCCGAGGACCATGGCACGGGGGGAGGGGGTATAACAAGGGCGGCTTGGNGCCCCTGTGTTGTGTTGTGGATGTTATTGGTGGTGGTGGTGGGGTTAAGGTTGTTGTGGGGTTGAGGGTGGCGGCTGGGGGGAAAGAGGAGTGGTTGGGCCTGGGGTGGCCCCCACATTCCAGGCCCTTCCTCAGCACACCTTGCGCTTCACCCCACAAACCCTTACTCCTACCCGTACCTCTGCCCCAAGCACATACATACATGCATACATAATACATACACTCCTACCTGCGTACGGATCTTCTTGAGCAGGTCTTCCACGTAGTTGCGAATGAAGGGGTCGTCCATGATGGTGCGTCTGAAGGGGGCGGGCGGGGAGACAGGGGGTGGGGTGGGGAGGACAGGACAGGGTTTGAAAAGGTTTGAAAAGATGTCGACCAGAGAAGTACGGGAACTGGTAATAATGGATGTGGCTATCAAGCCACAGCCACATGCACTACGAATAGCAGCAGGGATATGATACCCTTCCGGCGCCATGCGCTCGTAATCCCTAAGCCCAGCCCCAACAATTGGCGGTGGCAACGCACCAGGCGATGACAACAATGGTGATAATACGATGATTCATGATGGTGGTGAACAGGTTTGCAAGGTTATGTATGCATGATGATGATGATGATGATGATGATGATGATGATGATAATGATATGTTATAAAATAGTCAACGACCCTAACACTCCTTCACCGATCCCATACACACACGAGACGTGGAGGTTTCCCCTAGCTTCTATCCCCCTTCGGGGGGGGAGCGGGGTGGTCCCAAATCTCCTCCTTCCCCTTCGTGTGTAAGTATGTATGTATATGTGTAATACGCATATATGAGACCGGACGTTCTTTCCGTACTTGTTAGTTCGCAGAATCTTCTCGAAGTCATTGATGTCGTTGCGCTGGAAGGCCGCTACCAGGTTGGTCATGGACACAATCTCAGGATCCTGCTTGTACGGCTTGGCCTCCTGTGTCGTACAAAGTCATGTCACACACATACACACGTGCACATGCACCGCACGCACGTGGCAAGGAGGATAGGGCTCCGCATGAGTCCACTTTACAGAACAGACTGACAGACAGACAGACAGATAAAAAGAGAAAGGATTAGACAGCGAGCCAATTCCCCCTCCTTCCCTCCCCCNTCCCCTCCNCC